AACACTGAGTTTTTTCCTTCCCCAAACAAAATATTTAATGTATGACAGCGAGTCCCTTGAAGTGCCGAAAATGCAGTCGTTCCTTTCACAAGTAAAGAAAATAATGAGAAATTATGGATAAGATCCTACCAGTTTTTCTTCTTCCCCACCCACTCATTCCCTATAGCATACAACTGAGAAGTATCAGGGTCACCCAGCAGCCATTTTGAACCAGATACTCCAGCGTCCCTCTCCACTATCAAAGTGTTGTGAAGTGGACAGGGAGGGGCAGCGTCTTTGATTCTTCCCTTGTTGATTCTCCTGGGTGTCTCTGCCACCCCAGGGGGGCTCTGTGAGTGCAGAGAGGAGCCTCAAAACATAGTCTGAAAATAAACAAGAATCTTTTCTTTTCCTTCTGCCGCCAACCCTGAAGGAAACAGGACAAAGAAAAGGGGTGAGGTCACCTTTGGTTACCTTTGCTTAATGCCATTGCACAGAGGTGGGTCTCTTATATTAGGGCATCAGCAAATACCCGTGAAATAAATAAACTTGATTTAGATCAACAACAGACCAGGGAAAAGTAAAGCAGAGTGAGGTTATGAGTAATTCCTTTGCTTAATTCAGACTGTTAGAGCCCTCCACCTAGGAAGACAGAATTACATTTATTTATTTTTATAATTATACTTTAAGTTCTAGGGTACATGTGCAGAATGTGCAGGTTTGTTACATAGGTATACATGTGCCATGGTGGTTTGCTGCACCCATCAACCTGTCATCTAGGTTTTAAGCCCCAAATGCATTAGGTATTTATCCTAATGCTTTCCGTCCCCTTGCCCCCATACCCCGACAGACCCCGGTGTGTGATGTTCCCTTCGCTGTGTCCATGTGTTCTCATTGTTCAGCTCTGAGTTATGAGTGAGAACATGTGGTGTTTGGTTTTGGAAGACAGAATTTCAATGATTTTTTTTCGGATGTATTGTGAAAATATCTCCCCTGGGTCAGAAAGAAAGGCTCGTAATAACTCTCAAGGTTGAGATTCCAGAAAGGCCAGGTGACAGAACAGGTGTCACAGGTTGGTCTGGCAGGAGAAAGGGCTTGAGATGAATCTCTGACTTCCAGACTCCACACCTTTGCTACTCAAAGTGAGGCCCCTGGACCACCAGCAGCAGCAGCAGTGCTGGGATGCTTGTTAGAAACAATGAATTTCAAGCCCCACCCCAGCCCCATAGAGTCACTTTAACAAATTTGGGAAGCACTGCTCTACACCATCAGTGAGATGTCTAGAAGTCGTCAATTACAGAAAGACCTAGTTTGGGAGTAGCCTGGACAGCATAGCATAACCTCATCTCTACAGAAAATGAAAAAATTAGCCAGGCGTGGAGACTCCCACCCGTGGCTACTCTGGAGGCTGAGGTTGGAGGATTCCTTGAGCCTGGGGAGGCTGAGGCTGCAGTGAGCCGTGACCACGCCACTGTACTCCAGCCTGGGTGACAGAGAAAGCCCCTGTCTCTCTCTGGTTAAAAGGTGATGGGATGCTGGGGAATGCTACTCAGCAATGAAAAGGACCAAACATTCCATATGTGCAGCCTCCTTGGATGGGTCTCTGAGGCATTCTGCTGAGTGCAAAAAGCCAGCCTCGCCATCTGAGGTGCTAACACCTGTAATCTAAGAACTTTAGGAGGCTGAGGCAGACAGACTGCTTGAGCTCAGGAGTTTGAGAGCAGTCCTGGCAACGTGGCGAGACCCTGTCTCTACTAGAAAATTTTTGAAAAAGTGATCTGGTAGTGGTGTGCATGCCTGTGGTCCCGCTACTCAGGATACTGAGGTGGGAGGATTGCTTGAGCCCAGAAATTCGACACCAGCCTGGGCAACATGGTAAAATCCCCATCTCTACCTAAATAAATAAATAAATAAAAATTGGCTGGGCATGGTGGCTCATGTCTGTGGTTCCAGTTACTTGGGAGACTGAGTCAGGAGGATTCTTGAGCCTGGGAGGCAGAGGTTGCAGTGAGCTGAAATCACACCACTGCACTCCAGCCTGCGTGACAGAACAAGACCCTGTGTCAAAAATAATAATAATAATAAAAACACCAATCTCCAAAGGCCACTTACTATATGGTCTGATTGACATAACATTCTTGAAATAACAAAACTATAGAGATGGAAAACAGATTAGTGGTTGTCAGGGGTTTGGGATGAAGTTGGTGGAGGAAGGGCCAGAGTGATTCCAAAGGGGTAGCATGGGGTAGATCTTTGTGGTGAGGGAAGAGTGACCTTGGTGGTGGTTACATGAATCCACATGTGACAAGATGTCACAGAACCATATACACACATTGTAGTGATGTCAACTTCCTGGTTTGGATATTGTACTAGATTTACCTAAGATGTCACCATTTGGTTACTCTGTATTATCTTTGCAACTTCCTGCAAATCTGTAATTGTTTCAAAATAAAAAGTGAAAAAAAAAAAACCAAAACCCAAAACCAAAAAGGAGACGGTAGTCATGTAGCAATGATCTAGAGAGATGCCATCTTCATGATAAGATAGCTGAAGCCTCATTCTAACGCTTTATCTGGTTTCCTGCTGGGAGCCTGTTTTGCTGAAGGCATCATTGTGAAATGATGAAAAAGGCCCCTTTTGCTAAATCCTCCTGGTTGCAATCTAGAATGTTCTATTACACAAAATGATGTTCTCACAAGGCTCTAATATAGGAGTGTGGTAAGGAGAGTGTGACAGGTTCTAGTCTAGGCTCACAGGACATCAAGTCAGAAGGAGTTGAGGAAACAGGTCCAGATGGAGAAGAGGCCTGAACAAGGTCACCCAGGTAGCAGATGACAGATTCAGGGTCAGGGGTGAGATGTAGTGCCCAGCACAGAGCCCCTCCATTGTACCAATCAGCCTCTTCCCTTTGTAGCCCTTCATCCTAGAGGTTTTCCACAGCATTAAAATTCAGAACTCATCTGAAGGTTAACTCTGAAAAGCAACATCCAAAGAACGCATCAATGACATCAGGGCATCTCTTCTAATTGCCTATTCACACAGACAGATTGTCTTTTCAGATTCAGGGCTAAACTTGGAGATGTGTCCTTTCACAGGGCACTCGTTATCTGCCTGCCTCATCAGTGATGGGAACTAAAGCACGATGTGATTGCTGAGTATGAGTTCTATTTTTTTTCTGCCAAGCAGGAAGTTCGAAATCTGTTGAGTTATTTTTAAAGAGGGTGGAAAAAATAGGCATCATAGCAGCTTCTGCAGTGGCCCCAGCCAAAGGCACGTGCTGCTTTATTCAAGGCATTGGCCAGGCTGGAAGGAACGGAGGTGACGTGAAGTTCCACCAGGGAGGTTTCTTGGTGGAGTGGGGGCGGGGATGAGTGTCCACACACTCAAGTGGCAGCACAGGGCATATGGGCTTGCCTGCTAACTTGATGAGGACAGCAGTCCCAGATTTTTCTGGAGGGATATCTAGCAGTTTGTTTCATTTGGGGGTTTGTGGCTACCCTCTCCCTCTCAACAGAGTCGTGGTCCTCAAACCCTGGACTGAGAGTTGGCTCTGGTGGGCCTGGGCCCTGCTCAGCCATTTGTGGGGTCTTTGACCTTAGACACACACCATGGGAGTCTTGTGTCATCCAAGTCACACATGTGAATCTCACATTCCTGTGTATTCTCTTCCAAGGAATTTGGAAGAGTGAATCCCTGCAACTCGAAACTTTTGAAAATACCATGTTTATATGAAAGGAAATCCAGGTGTACTTGGCTTCTATTTGCAAACATTTCTTGATTACTTTGTGTGAAGCACTGTGCTAGGAACTAGAATCACAAAAGAGCTCAGTTGTGGGGGAATTCTCCTATACTCCTCAGAATAAGTAGCAAAACCCTAGAGAATCACAAATCACCATGGGAACCACTGCTGTAGAAAGTTCTAGAAATGAAGGCAAAGTCATTAGCCTTTCTTTCCTTGTATGAATCATCAATTTCCCCTTCCTTCTGCTCAGTCTTAGAAGTTTAGAAAAGCCTTTTCCTGCTACTAACAGTGTGAGACTCATACAAACTATCTCCTTTAATCCTCCCAACAACACTATTCACTAGTTATAGTGGTTTTATTTTTTTCTTTTTGAGATGGAGTCTCGCTCTGTTGCCCAGGCTGGAGTGCAGTGGCACAATCTTGGTTCACTGCAACCTCTGCCTCCCAGGTTCAAGCGATTCTCTTGCCTCAGCCTCCCAGAGTAGCTGGGATTGCAGGTGCCCGCCACCACGCCCCATTAATTTTTGTATTTTTAGTAGAGATGGGGTTGTGCCATGTTGGCCAGGCTGGTCTTGAACTCCTGATCTCAAGTGATCTGCCCACCTTGGCCTCCCAAAGTGTTGAGATTACAGGCGTGAGCCACAGCGGCCGGCCACTAGTTATAGTTAAATCCCTTTTTTTTTTTTTTGAAAGAGGAAGGTGAATACTAGATAGAGTAAGTAACTTGTCCAAAGTCTCAAAGCTAGTCAGGGGTTGAATCCAGTCGGAACAGGGTTTTCAGGTCTGTGCTGGAGTCCAGGGCTCAGCAATCAGTGCTGCCAACAGAAGGTGCTCAATAGATGTCTCCCTGAGTGGAGAAACCCAGGAAACTGCTGGCCATGGAGGCTGTGTAGGGGCCAGGCAGAAAGAACTATAAGTGGGAGAATGTGAGCCCTTCTGCGACTATTCATTCATCTCTGACGCAAGGTGGGGGTGGAGGGAGGTGGACGCTGAATTCTGAAGCCAGAGGACTCAAGACTGGTGAAATAGATTTTCTCAAAGAACCCTTTATCCACACAGCCCGATGCTAGCAAAACACTGTGTGATAAAAGTCTTGGTATGACAACATGCAGTCGAATAGCACTTTTTGCTTGGGGCTTTACAGGAAGAAACAATGTGAGATCCAAAAGCAGAATCGCAGAACGGGGAACACAGAACAAAAGCAGAATCGCAGAATCTCATGGTGGGGGAGGTCCCAGAGCTCCTCCTCCAACCCCGCCCCCATGCCTGACTGCATCACCTTCCGGTTTCTGCCTGGGCATCTCCGTGATGGGAGCTCACATCCTGATCTTCATTTTCAGTGGATTCTCCTTCTTTTGAGGAGAATGAATGATATCCAGGTATGGTATATGTAAGACCAATGGCCATGGGGGTGGGCACAGAAACTAAGTCGGGTCCTTGTGTTTCTTGGGGGCGCCTGCAGCCACACACTCCTTCCAGTGCCCCATTGCAAATGGAAGGGGCGGAGGGAACCTGTGACAGGCAGCGCCCCCCCACCCCGCCCCGCCCCACGCTTTCCTCCACACCCTAAGATGCTAATTGGCCCCTGCATGGGCTTTGCTGAGGCCTGAATGTCAAAGCCACCTGTCAGACAAGTACAAGGCGAATGGGGTAGCATGCACTTTAGCATCCTAAAAGCAATAAGTCAAAAATGCCTACTCACCCTGAGGCCACACCGAGGGCGACACACAGTCAAAAATAAACCGACCTTCTGCTTTCCTGGCCTGACTCACAGTTCTGGCCCTGGCACTGGGTTGCTTCCTAGAGAAGGAACAGACCTGGATTGCTAAGCGGGCTTGAGCAGTCATTTCCGGGAGGTGGGGCGATGTGAGCTCTCTACCCGGCCTCACTGGCCCAGGTCTCCCAGGGCTGGCTGGGCCTCTCCTGCGACCTGCTTGTAGGCTTTTGTGGATTGGCCAGGGCGATTGATCTGCACATGCCTGGGTTGGGCCCAGGCTGGGTCAGGAGCCACAGCAGAGCCCCTGGGGACTTGGTTTGACCTCAGCAATGATGACACCCAGGAAGAGAGCTGCCTGTCCCTCCGTGACCCCCACCCCCATCCCATAATGCTGCCACCATCCCCTAGCATCAGCTCACGCTGGCCCTTGGTGGGGACCCACCATGTGGAGATAACTTGTCTTTCTCATCCCCCCATCCTCAAAAAGTGTCATCCAGGCACACGAGTGACAGCCAGAACTCCACCCTCTGCAGGCGAGTTCTCTGCCTCAGGCAGTGCTATGGCGGTGGCCCAGGTGGTGGCCCCTGTAGCTTCTCTGCCTGATGTGAAAAAGATCACTAGGGCTTGGCTGCCACACCGCCAGCAACAGGAACATTTGTCTTTTATCTAGCGTCTTCATTTCCCTTGACTTTTTCTGCGGGACCACATTGTCCAATTTCTTCACCGAGTGAAGTTCTGAGGCTTGAACTGTTGGGATAAAGAGCTCACTCAAACCACACACATGGTGCACGGCCTGGGAAAATCATTTCTTTTAATGACAGAGAAAGCACACCAAACGATAACAGAAGCCCCATTGGGAGTTGCCACTGTACAAATCAATGCCTGGAGGCCCTGAACTAGCATTAAGACATTCACAGGGAAGTCAGCTGAGGTTAAGGAAACATCCACGCAGCATCTCTGAGGATACAGAAGAGGGAGGAAGAAGGTGACAGCCGCGATGCACACGCTGTGTATCTGTAGCTTGGACTCTTCTTCAGGCAGTTCTTGTTTTCCTTCCACATTGGATGGTAGGGGCTGGGGGAGGTTTGCAAATGACCATGTGGAAGAGAGGCCTTGTGTTTCAGCCTCGCAGAAGAGCCAATACTGTAGACAGATGTCACCCAGATGCTCCATGGGCCATGCCCATGAAGCGATGTTACGTTGGTCCTCTGAACAATGGTTCAGGGAGCTCGTACAACAGAAGAACAGTGGCTCCTTCACAATCTAGGGTCTGGCGCAACTTCCTGAAGGCATGCTAGGAAATAGGTTTATCAACAAAACTTGGCCGTCCCCAAGGGTAAAAGTCATTCTCCTAGTTTTTACTGCATGTATCTAGGTTTCAAATTAAAGAACGAGAAGAAAGGCCGCAACTGAAAAGTTATCTGGAATACTGTGGCACTTTACCAATCTCTTTTGCTTATAATATATGGCAGAGCCAACGAAACCCTGTTGATATAAACTTTCATTATAATAATCCTATACTGTACACTCTCAGAATACAGAAAGAATCCATCCTATCATACATGTTTCATCTTTAAAAATAATCTAACATAGTCATACTCTCTGGCTAGTAACAAACTATTAACATCTTCTGAGAATACAGAGAAAACTCTGGGATTAATAGTAAATTCTCTGACGTGCTGCCCCCCTCCCCCCATTCAGCATCATCTATGAACACATTTCTGCAAAAGCATCCCCAAATCATCCATAACTAGGAAAAGAAATGGATATGTTAGTTTCACCAAATGGAGTTTTAGCTAGAAATGATGGAACATTTTTTACGTTGGCAAAAATGAAGCACAAACGTAACATTTCACAGGTTCAGACCCATGCAAATGCATGTTATGTGGGGGTGTTTTATTCTCACCCCGAAACCACAATTAGCATGCAGGTTGTTTTCAACTATTAAATTAGAGATACTTATTGGCAGTGCACCTCTTTTGTGTAATCATGATCACTAAGGCAAGATTATTTTGACTTGTTTAGAATATCAGCAGTATCTTATCAGATGCATGTTTACACAGTGTGGACCTGTGACTTACTATTTAAAAAAAAAAAGAAAGAAAAATCTCAAAACACAGATCCCTAAACACAATTTAGTTGAAAACGAACTGTTAAGCTTTTAGAAATATATTTTAAACTACAAGACTGCCCTGTTTTTGTTTTTGTTTTTTTTAAATGAACATTTTAAAAAGTTCCCACCCCTAAAAATTTGCCAAATTATTTCCTCATTATGGGTCACAGCCTCACCAATTTGCTACCATGGTTGACGTTTGCTGAAGCACAGCTACCAAGGTCCTCAATGTGTAATACAATCTCTTCAGGATCGGTACGATGAAGTCCTCCAACTGTCAACCTGGAACCTGAGTGACCTTTGAAAGGCCTCAATCCATTCATTGGACAGTGGTCCCCGGCAGTGGGTGTTCAAAGGTCCTAGGGGTGCTTTCGGTTGGGGTTAACTTGGTTGTCCAGTTGCCCATTAATAAGCTCTGGACCCAGCTGATCTGATCTGCAGACCGGTGGAAAGTCCTTTGTTTTTCAACAGGAACACGTGGGAGCAGTAGAGGCAGCTCCTTGGCCCAGCCAAAAACAGGTGCCAGGTGGAATTTGTCTGTGTTTGTGTAAAGCCAATGCGGCAGGAGAACTGGAAGGTTCCCGGGAAGCATTCGCTGCACTGGGCATTTCAAACCACGGAACCTTTGGAAGATGACAAGTGAATGGACTGAATTCTGATGGCCAACGTCCTCTGTAAGTCCTGGAGCACATCCTGGCCGGTCCCTTCACCATTTTTGTCATACAGGAGCTGCTTGAATGCTTCGTTTTCAATGAGGACCATCATGTTTTTGAGAAAGTAGCCTTCGCAATATGCTGAGAGTTCCGTGACGCCAAGAAACTGTGGAGAATGGAGAGGAAATGGGAGATGGTTATGCTTCTGAAAAGCACCTTTCAGATTATGCCTTCAGAGCTAATAATGGCACACACCTGCTAAGGAAGACTGGCTGCAGAATGTCTGTGATTCCCCAGCACACACCCATAGGGTGTGACTTTGCAGCTCATCCTGTCAAAGGGCTGGAGTCCATTCCTCCATTCCTTGGCCTCGTGCCAATCAAATCACTTCTCTGGGCCTCAGGTTTCCAAGTTACAAAAGCAAGGGGTGGCCTACAGGGGTATTGTGCTCTGCTGTGCCATTTAGGACAGGGATGCATGCAGTAATTCTGTGGTCTCCAAGAGGCTTATAAAGCTTGAGGAAGTTTATCAGTGAGTGGACTAGTTATCCCACAAATGTCCATATAGATGCACAAATCCTGGAACTCTGGAACTGAGAGAGATCTTAGCAATCCTTTCATTCTTATTTTATTGAGACAGAGTTTTACTCTGTTGCCCAGGCTGGAGCGCAGTGGCATGATCTTGGCTCACTGCAACCTCCACCTCCAGGGTTCAGGTGATTCTTCTGCCTCAGCCTCCAAGGTGGGCCTCCAAAGTGTTGGGATTACAGGTGTGAGCCACTGCCCCTGGCTTAGAAATCTTTTCATTCTTTCAACATGAATCCTGCTCTTAGAATCACAGAGTACAAGGCTTCCTGGTACAGGTGAGGGAACTGAGGCTCAGAGTTGCCAATCTGATTCTGAGGACACAGTGGGCACCCCCCACCAGCACACCTGGCACTTGCTTTGTAGATTAGTGTCATTCAGCACATGTTAGTGGAAAATAAAAGCATAATATATACCTATATTGATAATATTTGATAGTATTTATTGAATGGTGACTGTATATCAACCTCTGGCCTATCTCCACACAACTAATTACTAACAGAACTGGGATTGGAGCTCTCATTCCCAAGACAAGTGGTTGGCAAACTATAGGCCTGAAGGCCAAATATGGCCCACCACCTGTTTTTATAAATAAAGTTTTATTGGAACACAGCCATACCATACCATTCATTTACATATTCTTTGGCTGCTTTTTGCAAAATTGAGTAGGTACAAAGCCAACTGTGTGGTCTGGAGAGTTGAAAATATTATCTGGCCCTTGTCCTAGACTGTAATTTTTTCAAGGGCAGAGACTATGTCTAATTTTTTTTTTTTTTTTTTTTTTTTTAGACAGAGCCTCACCCTGTGGCTCACGCTGGAGTATGGTGGCGTGATCTCTGCTTACTGCAGCCTTGACCTCCAGGGCTCAGGTGATCCTCCTGCCTTCTGAGTAGCTGGGACTAGAGGTGCGCGCCAGCATGCCCAGCAATTTTTTTTTTTTTTTTGTATTTCTTTTTATAGAGATGGGGTTTCACTATGTTGCTCAGGCTGGTCTCAAACTCCTGGCCTTAAGTGATCCTCCCACCTCAGCCTTCCAAAGTGCTGGGATTACAGGCGTGAGCCACTGCGCCCGGCTCCTCTAATTTTGTATTATATTCTGATGAATACAGCTCCTAGGAAATACTGGCTACTCAATAAACACTAGCGAAAAAATCCTTTGGTTTCCAAACCTGTGTTCTTTCCATCATGATGCACTGTTGAGCTTAACCACAACAGCTGAAATTCAGTCTGATGAACCAGCTTGTTCTTTTTCTCAAGAGACACGCTGAAAGGGCCACAAGAAGCTCCAGGGCCTCTTTTCATAACTGAATAGTTTGGTACAGGTTTACTAGGAAAAAACAGATGGCTAAGCCATGCATTAGTGGAATGGGTTTCTCCTCTGTATAAAATTCTGCAGCTGTCTCAAGCGGTTAGATGTAATACAGAGGTAACGTGGAGGTCGTCGTCGACATTTGGAACATGGCTCTTAGCATCTAAACGCCTGTATTGCCTGGAGTTACAAATGCTAAGTGTTGGTTTCTCTCTTTACCACTCTTTTTCCTAAACTAGCCTCTATTTGCAGCACAATCTGCCAGTCATCGAATCCACATGGTGTGTGGCCGTTAGTGGACTGCAGCATCCACAGCACAGGGGAAGCAGTGCACAGAAAGGGCAGGAGGCGGCTGGCATTGCACTGCCCTCCAGGTGACTATCACGAAGGGCAGATATTTCTCTTGGAAACACTCCAGGTAGTGGCCTGGACGTCTGAGGCAGAGCTGGTGTCCGTAAAAGCCAAAGCCCTGTCTGCAAAGCATGTCTGTAGGTATATATATATGTATATATGTATGTATGAAAGAGGCAGTTTCTCTGCCGTAGGTGTTCTAAGCCTGTATTCCCATCCGGGGCTCACATTGCATCAGGCGACATTATTAAATCACAAGATATGCTACAGAAGCTGCCTGCCAACAAACTTGAAAAGATTAAAATGGGATTGTGAAACACAGGCCTCGCTGTCAAGGTGGTAGGCCACAGAAAAGCCACCGTGGATATCAAGTTCATGGGGCAATTTGAGTGACCATGGTCAAGGAGGAGGGCAGAGGAGTGCAAGGCTAATCAGGCTCTCTGCCTTGGTGCAGAGAAAGAGACCTCTCTTCTGCAAAGTAATCAGTTTAAGATTGAAAAAAAAATGCTTGTGTCCTGAGAAACCAGATTTTGGTATAATCCTCATTTAACTAGAACCCAAGTGTGTGTGTGTGTGTGTGTGTGTGTGTACAATGTAGACTGACTGTACTTTTTGATTTACTGATAGCCAATCAGAAAATCTTGAGTTTCAAGGATTATTGAAAATATTTCCAACATTTATTAAGCCAGACAGTAAACACGGGGTTAAGAACCTATGCTTTGGAGTGAGACAAATCTGGGTTCAAAGGTGTCAGTACTACACTTCTGGGGATATACCCCAAATAACTGAAAGCACAAATTTGAGGCCAGGCGCAGTGGCTCACGTCTGTAATCCCAGCACTTTGGGAGGCTGAGGCTGGTGGATCACCTGAGGTCAGGAGTTCAAGACCAGCGTGGCTAACATGGCAAGCATCTGTCTCTAATAAAAATACAAAAATTAGCCAGGCATGGTGGCGTGTGCTTGTGGTCCCCAGCTACTCAGGAGGCTGAGGCAGAAGAATCGCTTGAACCTGGGAGGCAAAGGTTACAGTGAGCCGAGATCATGTCACTGTACTCCAGCCTGAGTGACAGAGCGAGACTGTGTCAAAAAAAAAAAGCAGGGATTTGAACAGATATTTGTACACCCATGTTCACAGCAACACAATGTTGTTCACAATAACCAAAAAGTGGAAGCAACCAAAGTGTCTACTGATAGATGAATAAACAAAATATGGCATGTACATACAGTGAAATATTATTCATCCTTAAAGAAGAAATTCTGATGCATGCTACAATATGGATGAACCTTGAGGACATTATGCTAAGTGAAATAAATCAGTCACAAAAAGACACATACTGTATGATTCCACTTATGTGACATCCCTTGAGTAGTCAAATTCACAGAGACAGGAAGTAGAATGGTGAATACCAGGGCCTGGGGGAGGGGAGGAATGAGGATTTGGTGTTTAAAGGGTATAGTATCAGTTTGGAAAGATGAAAAAAATTCTATAGATGAATGGTAGTGATGGTTGCACAACAATCAAATGTACCTAATACCACTGAACTGTATACTTAAAAATGGTTAAAGTAGCAAATTCTATGTTATGTACATTTTACCATAATACAAAAATCTCATTACTAGCTGTGTGACCTTAAGCAAGCTACTTCACCTCTCTGTGCTTCAGTCTCCTTATGATGACATGGGACTAGTGTAGCATTTACCTAAAAGGGTTGTAGTGAAGATTAAAAAACAAGATGCAACAAGGCTCTTAGCACAGGTGCCTGCACATTAAAAGGGCTCACTGAATGCTGTCTTAAGCAAGTAGCATCTCACATGCAATCTGATTTTTCGCAACAAGCAATAGGAGCATCATTCACGTGCACTGTTACTGTCCAGAGCTGTGTGTGATATGGGAGTCATGTGTACTGGGCTCCAGTTATATAAAACAGGAACATTTTGTGTTAAACTCCTAAAATAACTCTTCATCTTGGCTGGGTGCGGCGGCTCATGCCTGTAATCCCAGCTACTTGGGAGGCTGAGGCAGGAGAATTGCTTGAACCCAGGAGGAGGTTGCAGTGAGCCTAGATTGCACCATTGCACTTCAGCCTGGGCAACAAGAGTGAAACTCCATCTCATCAATCAATCAATCAATCAATCAATCAATCAATCAACCTAACTCCTCATCTTAACGGGTTTTATTGTTTCTTGCTGGAACTGTTAATGTCCCCTGTGCTCAGCACGTGGAACAAAATGCAGTGGTACCTGGACAAAGTATTTTACTTCTCTTGGGCCCAGTCTCCCCACTGATGAAGTGAATTGGATGAAATCAGTGGTTCCTGAAAACTGGAGTGAAGACTGGTTTGAGGGCTGATGTCACTCTAGCAGCTTGTTAAAAATAGAGATTTCTGGGCTCCCTGAGGGGATACTGCTGAGGTCTGCGGGGATGGGGGACTACATGGGCATTCCGAAAGCTCCCCCCGGTAATTCTAATTCATAGCCAGGTGTTGGGTCCACCTGATTAAGCAGACGCCAAAGACTTCAGCAGTGCGTACAGCCTGTTCTCAATCTTGGCCACATCTGAGCATCACCGGGGAAGCTTTGAAAGCTGCCTTTCTCCAGGTTCCACTCCTAGAGGCTGACTGATTAGTCTGTGATGGGTCCCAGGCATAGGAAGTTTAAGTGATTCTAACGTGCAGCTGGCATTGAGAACAATTCTGGAAGGGCGGTTCTCACCCCTGAGCACGCATTAGAATCAGCTGGAGGGCATGCAAAGCCACAGGTGGCTGGGTCCCCCTCAAGTTTCTGATTCAGTAGGTCTGGGGTACGGCCTGAAAATGTACCTTTCCGACAAGTTCCCTGGTGCTGCTGGATTGGAGAACCACTGTTCTGGAACCTTAGAAGGTGTCCCTTAGATCATCAGCAGAGACATCACCGGGGAGCTTGTCAGAAAAGCTGAACAGGCCCATCCCAGTCTATGGAACCGGAGTCTGTGACATGAGTCATATGCACATGGGAGTTTGCAAAGCACTGTTTGAGAACTCTGCCTTTGAAACTTCTGGGCTCCTCCTTTCCTTGTTCTGGCGGGGGAGGTGGAAGGCATCTTTTCTAGAGCAGGAAGCAGATCTTGGCAGAAGCCAGCGGCTTAGCCCTCAGAGAACTGGCCCAGCACCCGCTCTCTGCCCTGCCTCTGTGTTTGCCAAGGAAAAGCCTCCGCGGCTTCAGTGCTCCTGTGTGCGCACTGCGCAAGACTGAGATTGATTACCTTGGCATGGTTGTAAATATCCACACAGTTGTCGGTATTGATGCTTTTCGCACAGATGATCTCACAGTGTCGCTGCAAAGCCTCCAGCTGGAAAAACTTAGCAGCAGACAGAAGCTAAAAACAACAAAAAGAGTCTGTTAGAGGCTGGGAGGTGGATGGAAAGGAGGTAACAGTAAGGAATCACAGTGGTAAGACAGTCTTATCCTCATCTTCCACAGCAGCGTCAAGGGTGGGGGACAGAAAATGATGCACAAAGGTAACATTAGAGGAAGAGGACAAAGATAGGATTCTGTCGTGGGGGAAGATGGGGGAGGAGGGGAGGACTAAACAAACTCAATTCATACCCATCACAGCAGGAGGTCAACCCAAAATGCCCAAAATTGTTATGTCCAGAAACAAGGGTGAAAATCAGGGTATTATCAGCAAGCTGGATATCGAGGTGGCTCACTCCCTCTGTTGTCCGGGTCTCCACTCACATGTCGCCTCCTCAGAGGAGCCTCCCTCTACCCCATCTATCC